ACAATTTATAGTTGATTGGGATAACCGTCCTTCACTTTAAACTCCTTCGTCCTGCACACCTTGTGTTTCAACACCTCTCTCGTATATAATAGATAAAATAACAATTATATATATGTATATATGTATAATTATATATGTATAATTATATATATATATATATATATTATATATGAATATCACCTAATCACTCGCAATCGAAACCCGCTGTGCAAAAATCCCTTCCGCGTACAAGCTCCTCTTGACAAGCTGCATCGTACAAAATCTCTGCAGATATAATACTTCTTCGCCGTGACGTGGCAAAAAAATTATTTCTGCCAAATTATTGTTAACACTCGTTTATTAAAGGGACAGTATCTCAGATACCGCCGTAACGGGGAGAGAAAAGAATCCGGAAGAATCCGTAAAATGTCAGCCGTGTCGACTGTTATCACGTCGTCAACATGTCGTTACAATTTATCGCCGAGTTTCCCGAGCGGAGATGTATGTATCTCTTCGCGAGATGCCAGTCACAGAGAGTCGCAGTTAATTACTATAATGCAATCGAATAAGCATGAGATCGAATCGAAAAACCGATCTCGATGCGAGGAGTGGCTACGGGAACTTTCTTCCGCTGTCTCTCTCGTCTTTTTATCTCACGAGACACGATCCCCCCTTTTATTACCGAGCTCATTAACACGTCGAATGTGACATCGAGGTTGTCACATCGCGCGCGGCTACCGATATTATCATATCGCGGGCGAGCGCGGAGGAGGGAAATTTATTTGCTCTTGGTGATGATCAACGGCGTTATCTCGTTCGCGATTGCTGCCTCGATTTACATGTAAACACCTCGTCCACTCCGTAAAATTCAATTAAATCACGTCTTTTAATTAGGGGACGCCAATCGACATCCAGCTAAACCTCCGCATCTGTATAGGTACTTCGTCATTATCACACGGTTTATTGCGAGTGGCGAAAAAATATCCTTTAATTTTACAAAAGAGGATTCGACATTGTATCGCGTTCGCGTATGTACAAATCGCGAGAAATCGCGATTTATCGTAATGAACATGTTATTCCCGATGACGTTAAGAGACTGGTACTTTCCGATAAGATTATTATTCTGTTACCGAAATTACGAAACTCGACAGAGACTTGAACACGCGAATCGCGCTTGCGTAAAATGCGCCGGCGAACGGGATGTTGTCTTCGAAACAAAGCGAAGCGTTTTGACAGGCTCTCGATGCCACTCATGATTAATTGCGACTAGTCGTAAAAAAAAAACCCGCACAATCGTCGCTCTCGCGTGTTTGTTTTGCTAACGATGTTTAATAGAATTTTGCAATCTGCGCGCATTGTCGGTCGACGGGCGGCGTGCCGAACAATACGACACGATCGGCGAATCGCGTACGAGTTATATCATCGTTGACGCGCGCGCACGCGATTTATCACGCGACACCGACATTGTTTCTAAACGCCAGAAGAATTTTGCTCACGACGTCGCTCGATAATGACATTACGCGGGACGCCGCGACGCGGGGCGAAATGGAATCATTAATAATTCCATAACGATATTATTATCGGCACGCGTGATTGATTAAGAGAGTCCCCGGAACTTTTCTCTCGCTCTCCCTCTCTTTCTCGCCCGAAGACCCGAAGAGGCGAAAAGAAATTCATTTCGTTGGGTGCCGCGTGTCGGCGGGCGCGACATCGTCCCGCGATAACGATACAACATCGTCACGCTCGCGAGACGAGAGAGAAAGAAACACGAGTACACGGGAGAATAAAATCATTAATAATATCCCGGTAATGCACCCCCCCCCCCCCCCCGTTACGGCGCGTGTGATTTATTAGAGGACAGTCGTCGCGAATTCATCTCGGAGTCGTCGAGGAAAATTTCACGTCGCCTCGCGACGTGATAACGCGACGATATTATCGGCGATATCGGCGATCGGGTGAAAAACAACCGGCTGCGGATGCGCGGGAATAAATCGGGTGTTAAGTCGAGGCAGCAGGACAGAAGAATACGGACGGTTTTAAGCGCGAAAGAAGGAGGTGGAAGGAGAAAGAGAGAGGTAGAATGATACAGAGACGATGAGAGGAAGAGACGGAGAAAGAGAGGAATAGAAAGAGAAATATAGAGAGAGAGAGAGAGCATCGTAATGCCATACATTGTACATATACACATCTATAATCACATAATACTCGATTAAAGATTGGTCGGTGGTGTATGCGTGAATTATCATTTAATTTATTTTAAGTTAAAACCTCTTTTTACAATGGTATCTTACAATGTGTCACTTTTTACATCCAATAAACATCCTCGCCGCACGTCCGTCGAGTGGCGAAAGGATCGCTCCGCCCTTTTGTCTCTTTCCCACATTTCCCCCTCCCCGTCAAAGTTCTCTCTCTCGTCGTCTCGTCGCATCCCCCTGTTAGCTTCGCTCATCGTTAACGTCTCTCCCTCTTTCGCGCGTTTGTGCGGATGCGATCTCGACCTCTCTCTTAAAATCATATATATATATTTTTTTGTTTGTTTTTACACAGGCTACACGCTACTTCCTAATAATACTATTTAATAGATGCTTCCTTCCTCTCCTCCTTCCACGGCCTGCCTCGTTTACCCGATCCTGGACGCGCGAAGGATCTCGCACGAAAAATGACCATCGATACCGACGTTTTTTTTTTTGCTCTCGTCCCCTCAGTCTTTTGGAAAATCGCCCGCCACTTGTCGTCCCCCCGTTCGGGATCACCCCGTACAGGACCGCCCGTGCTCGCGCTTCGTGTTCTCACGTCCTCGCGACGGGGGAGGAAAAGGTAACCGCGCGATATCCTCCCGAAATCACGAAATTCATTATACCGTCTCTGCCTCTGTCTCTCCCTCTAATCCCCTCGCAGCTCTCCGCTTCCCTTCTCTCACCCTCCTCGTATTACCTACGTACGTCTATTTATAGTCGCAGAAAACATACGCGAGTGGTAAAACCTCTAAAATCGAAAAAATCACAATGTGTTCGGAACCCAAGCGAGTGAGTCTTTTCACGAGCTATAGCGATCAATCAATGGACGATGATGACCGATAGCGATATATAATGACGATGCTAATGATCACCCGGTGGTCTCTCACCTCTCTGATACGACATCTCTCGTGCTCTCGCGTTCACTCGCCGATGAGGCTCTCTTCAATTATATCCTGAAGTTGACTATTTATATGCATGGTTGTTTATGATGCGCAATTAGTTGCTAATTATGCACAATCACTTAATACGCGCGACGGTCGCCCGCCCGCGCGTGTTCCAATACATATTTATAATACATATATTTTATTTTCTTCATTTGCATATATATATATTTATATTTATATATATATATATACTATATTATTACAATAACGATACACAATTTCGAAGATACAAAATTTACACTTGCCTTTTAGTCGCGTGTTCCTCGTATTTTTTGCGCTGACTGTTGCTATTCCGATGTGTGAATTTGTGTATGTGTGTGTGTATATATATATATATGTGTGTGTCTGAAGATGTGTGTGAAGGTACATGTGTAAGTGTAAATTCTTCGTGTCCGCCGTGACTAAATTATGAAGCTAACGCTCGTGCGATCCGGTGCGATCGCATCGACGCGCCGGGCCGGGCCGATCGATCGCGATCGTCGGAGGCTTCGTATATAATTTACGAATTTACTCTATGCGCTTTTATTACACTTATCGTGAACTATCACTAACCGGTACGACACACAGAACGGTGCTGGACCAATGGACGCCGACAGTGGACAGATAGGAGGCAAGATTAAACCGAAAGTCCTAAGAAAGAGAAAATGGGGAAAATTCGATTTGGGGAAACTCGATTTCGGAGAAACTACCGGTGTCAATTCGCGACCGGGGCCTCGATTCACCCCGAGACGTCGTAAAAAAGCGTTTCAATTCCTGGAAAATGAATTAGGTTTCTCGGCCGATCGGCTTCATCTTTGGAAAGGGACTGAATTCCGCGTGCGTGATTGGCTGTATATATTATACCGTAAAATGTTCCCTAAAAACGGGCACTGCGATCGAAGTGCCTCGATTATTGCTGCTCGCGTCTAAGTAAAATCTACTTGATTTGAAAAAAAAAAATCACGTTCTTTAAGCCGCCGGAAGGAAAAACATCAATTTTTCTTTAACGATCTCTAGATTGCTACATAGTGAAAAGTATAGTCGTTCTCTGAACAAAAAAAAAAGAGAGAGAACCGTTCCCACGTTTCTCTCTTTCGAAAGAGTCGAATGTACAGAGTATTAGGCGAGCTTCGTAAGTTACCGTTTGCGAGACTTGTTAATTGCCGTTTTCGTTTAATCGCGGGGGCCGAACGACACACACAGCACGGCGGGTCTTCGACGAGTCTCCGCCGAGCGTAACTCCGCGCGCGAAGCGACACGCGAGACTCGTCGGCGCGCGACCGGCGGCGGCGCGGCGAGGATATCTCTGAAGTAACGTCCAAACGATCCCGCACCGGGAGTTACGAACGCCCGTTTTAATAAAACACATTTCTCTTGAAATTGCACGTTTTACCGCGTCGCACTTCCGTGCGTAGCACGCGCGCGTTTTTCCGGGGGAAAAAATCCCCCGCACCCTCCCCCCCCCCGCGCGCTTGCGGCACACTCCGCGACTCTTGGCACTCGGGAAACGATTTTGGGCGCGAAGCGCGCGCGCGCGCGCGCGCGCGGAATCCAGCCGTCGATCGTCGCGCGGAAGGGCGACGTAAATACCATCGCGGTCCCGCGCGACAGCCCCGGCATTCGCGCGATCGCCCAGAATCATCCGAGGAGTCACCTAAAAACAGGTCATCACACACGCACACGCGCGCATCCGCTCTTCCACCCACAATGCACTCGCTCTCTCACGCACACACACACACACACACACACACACAAACACACACATACACGCTCGTACGCGCGCGTTATATATAATATAAATTCTTGTATCTATATACTTATTTACATGCTATATATCATATATAAGACTCAATACAGTAGCTGATTTTTCCTTTGTACTTGGGGCCGGGGCTCGATGGCCCTACATGAAACTTTACATATTTACATGAGCTTTCACTTTGAGAGAGATCCGACGGGCGCTCTCACGGCTGTGCACAAGGACCCGTGAAGTCCCCGTGGATCCCGCGTGCGTCGGGATTTTCGTGTCGTCAGTGATCGATCGTGGCCCTCCCCCTCCCTCTTGGCTGGGGCGGGACGCGTGCGAGAAAGAGAAGAGGAGCGGTTTTCGTGTTTAACGTTTAGTTTTTCTTTTTTTTTTCTGGGGGATTTTTTTCTCCTTTCTTTTTACATTTACAACGAGACAGTGGTGGGCTGCGTCCTGAGCTGCTAGTCACTCGCGATTCATGTGTACTCCGATCGCCAGCCGGTCTGAAACCAGACAAAGATTACCACACTCTTGAGATGCTCTACTTGCCGGCCGCTTGTGAGCGAAGACTCTCTCTCTCCTTTCGCGCGCACCGGCGCGATTAATATTACGGCGCTTTGGAAGCGGAGACGGAGACGTGGAAACTGCACGTGGGGCGGCGACGATCGAAACTTATAATATTCGAAATGTGTCTCGTCGAGAAAATAACGTTTACATTTTGTATATTAATTTTTTTTTTAATTTCTCTATACCGAGTAACGCGAGACTGAAACATTTGGAAATTACGGATTTAAATGACGCGATCGCGATCATTTCGTTATCGCGAAATACAGCTGCGGCAGCACGTTTGTGCCTCGGCTCACACGACTCGAGGGGAATCGACAAACTTCCACGCGGTAGATCCCTGATCGATTATATCGGCGGCCCGAAGCCGCCTTTGGTCAATCGCCGATGAAGGTAACAATCGTGCACTCACCATTGCGTTCGTCGTGGCCGCCAGCTGCAGACCCTGAAGACTCGTCATGTGATGAGAATGGGAATGCGAATGCGAGTGCGGGTGGATGGGGGGCGGCGCCGGTGGCGCAAATCCCTGATGAAGACCTCCGGCCACGCCGACACCCGTGTGATACATGTAATGCTGCATCGCCGGATGCATCGTGTGATGATGCTGCGACGTACCTGCAACGATAATGGCGAGCGTCGCCCTTTTAAAATCCCCCCCTTGCTCGCATGAATTTCGCATAAGAGAAACCGCTTCGAGAGAAAACCGCGGCGGATTCTTTTCGGACTGGGACGTTTACAAAGATGATTATATACGGAAGAATGTCGTACAATTGCGAATCTTTGCGTTGCCGGCTAATCTAAGATAAATTTAAATTTAACGCGAAGCCTTTTTCTCGCGGTCAAAATGTAGAGAATATAGCGTCTCTTTCTCTTTCTGTCTTCATCTTGTATTTTATAATAGCGTACGCAATTTTTCTAAAAACGCGACTTCAAAATGCCTTGAAATTATTAAATTATTTGAAATAGAAAGGTCTCGGTGAGCCGAGGAATTCGACTTACCCATCGGCGAACCGAATCCCGAGTGGAAGGGCTTGTTGTCGAGATCAAGGTGTCCGCTGGCCTTGATCATGTCACCCATGACACCACCGAGGCCCAGGCAGCCGCCGGCCTTCTTCTTCTTGCTTTTCGACGAGAGCTTCCTGTTTCTCGTCTGGATGCCCTCCTTTTTCATCGTCAGCGGCCGGTTCACCTGCAACAGTCGTAGACAACAGTTCGCTAAGTTTTAAAGTTTATATATACTACGTAGGGGAGCGCGATTTATATTCCGCATACGACAAATAATCGCGGCGCCACTGTTCGTTATCAAAATAATAAAGCGATGACGAAGTGCCTAATCCCGCGGTATAATTTATGACCGCACAATTGCATCGAGAAGATTGTTAATTGAATCCCAAAGAAATTAAAGTGACACGTAACACGTCGTCGCGACATTTCCGTGAGATAGTTTTAAGAAAGAGAATAAAAGAACTATATATATATTGTAACGAAGGACATGAAAACTCAGCCCGATTCGAGGAAGGACCGTAAAATTACCGACGCGAACAATGCGGTGACGTAACGGGAAGGAGGAAGAGAGAAGAAGGAAGCGTCGTCGGAAGATGTAGTTCCATTCAAGTACAACGCGCGCGCGTTGCGTTTTCTTCGTCTCTCGGCTGCGCGGCGAGAGGATATGCTCGGCAATGCGCTCCGTACACGAGGATCGTAAATCATCGCGTGTTGCATGTTCGACGGACGGCAGAGCGCGCGCGCGGGGAATACTCTTCTTTATTCTAAAACTTCAATCTGCGATTTTTTTCCTCTCCGCGACGTTCCATTCGGATTCCCGTGGCCGTGCCACGCCATCGCGCTAAATCGATTCTCATCGCGTTCCTCTCGCTCGTCGAAAGTCCAGACTCCGTCCAGCGAGAGCACTATCTATTCCCGCGTTTTTAATTTCATTCATAATACCAAATTAAGGAGAAAATCGATTAAATCGCTTTTCCTTATTATCTGAAGAAATATACAGGTATTAAAAGGCAGCGCGAGTTTCGTCCGGACTTATATCTCGGAATTGATTCTGGAAGCGAAACGTCTCGCGGTCGTCGCGACGAGAGAAGACGATCGAGCGCGCGGCGCACATCACTGACGTAATCTCGTCGGCTTTACAGCCAGACGAGAAGCGCGCAATTAAGAAATCCCTCAGATTCCTGGTAGTCTCTGAAAGCCGGTGCAATTAACGAATCGACAGTCCTCGAGCGCAATTCGCGAGACGCTACGTCACCGCGTTGCGCATCTCCGAGCGCGCGCGACCACGCCTCGTCCGCGCGCCTCGTTCGCACGAAGAAGCACCAGGCGGTTATTGTTTCTCGTTGAGAGAAGAAGAAGGGGGAGGAGGAGGAGGAGACGCGTAGGAGGTCGTCGGCTTCTCATTTCGATCGAAACCAACGATAATACAAGCGCCTGTTAAAAATAAAACGGTCGAGCGAACGGGATGGCACTCGGTGCGAGACGCGATGCGCGGCAACCGCGGACGATCCTTCTACTCGAGATTTATTTAAATGCAGCCGCTAGCGCGACGAGCGAAAATATATCGATATATCGTTATTGCGACAATAATGCAGTCTTAAAGGAAAATCGATCGGCGCGCATTATTTTTCGCTAACACGCGAAAACGCAATAGAATAACGTAGATGCCTCGGAGGTGCGGGTTGCATCTGCTGTCCCATCTACGATATGAAAATTATTCTAAAACGAGTAACGACTATGTGGAGAATGGAAAAAAAAAACAAGAAGAAGGAAGTCCGGTGCGGGCGTATGCGCGGCTCTTCGTGCACTTTTATTAATTAATCCGTTATTTACACGCCGATGCTAACGCAGGCGCGCGTTGTCCGCGATGCATCATTCATCGGCATGAAAGCTGCAGCGTATTCGCGCGGCACGCACGCATTCACGAAAGAAGACAACCTGCATTGTATCTATTTATGTAAGGGGTGATCGAGGAAAATTACTACCTTTCAGCCTGTGCATCCACAAATAAAGAAGAAAGAATGACAAAATTCAATCGTTATGTACGCGCCCCATCACCTGCGATTATCTGGAAAACGAGGAGTACGGAGTAATCGCTATAAAGTAAAATAAAAGTGTCGACAGAACGAAAAAAAATATATATAAAAAAATCAATAAAATAAAATAAAAATTGAACTCTAATTGTGAACTCGATAGTCAATGAGATAAGTCAATTGAACGAAAGTTCAGCTTGCATCGTATCTCGAGAATTCAATTTGACGATAAATAAGTACCTCGTAGAAAAATACGCCTCGCGAAAGAGAAAGAAACGTAACGACGGACGCGTCAGCTCGAAGGAGAACTTAATTATCGGCTCACCCTGTATATACGACGAAACGTACGCTCGTGTGCGTGCGATGCTTAAGTACGAAATAAGTATGGTATGCAAGTGTTGCGTATTGCATCGGGTTGAGCCGAGCGTGGGGAGGGAGGGGAGGGAAGGGAGGAGAGCGAGGAGAGGAATCGCGGCGCTTTGTAGTCGCCGCGACGTGACACAACTGCCAACTTGGGGGAAAAGGTTCCCGGTATTGCGCTCGGACGCGAGGAAGGTGGTGTGAGTGCGTGTATACGCGATACGCGCGCGGAGGCGCATCATCCTCCTCTCTTTCCTCCCCCGGACGGGAGTTTGACCGCCCGCAGCCCTCGCGACGCAACGTTTTTTTTTTCTCCACTCGTCTTTCGCACCACCCGTAGCCCCTGGCGCGGCGCGACACGGCGTCCAGACGGTCAACGACTCTTTTCGGAATTACGCAATTGGCCGAATTTGCCGAATTAACGGTCGCTCTCGCGCTCTCTTGTAGGATTAAACGCCGCGCGGCGGCTCTTTGCGAACCGCATTTTTTTTCCCCCATCCGGCGTGGACCGACGCGGTCGAGGTACCGATGCTTGAACAAAATTTGACGATAATCAGACACGAAGCGCTATAATAAAGTCTCACGGTTCGCCACGAGATATTAAAATAATAGCTGCATGAAATTGCCATCCCCACTACTGAAAATCGACTAACAACCATTATCATTCGATTGATGATCGTTAGTATTTGATAGTCCATTCCCGATGAATTTTAGTCAAAGTTATAATAAATAACAATACAAAAAAAGATATACACGCGTGAAGTTAGCCCCTCCTTTCGCAAAATATGGCTTTCCAGACTGCGTAAGTAATCATAATTGTAAGCATTCGTTTGGTGGTTATTTATTAACGTTTATTGATGTTTGGTAGTCCATTCTCGATGAATGGTAATCAAAGTAGTAAGTTCACGCGCGTATGTCTTTTTTCATATTATTATTTCTTACTTGTTATTATTTATAATTTTGACTACTAATCATCGGGAATGGACTACCAAACATCAATAAACAACCACCAAACGAATGCTTATAGTTATGATTACTTACGCAATCTGGAAAGCCATATTGCGAAAGGAGGGGTCAACTTCGCACAGCTTAAAATAATTTTCCGTCATTAATTATGTATAAGTTTTATGTCGCTTTGCAGACTTTCTTTCGAAAAAGAGAGCTACATTGTTTCTAAATTGTGAACAAAAATTCTTATTATTTAGAATATATTAAATATGGGAAATTATGACACCTTGCGCTTGCCTCGTTGCTTTGTTACGTTAAGATTGTATGAAATACTAGCTATCCGTTAGATCTTTTAATGAGAGACAAAGGGACCAAGATGAGCAGTCGAAGAGAACGACGCGGCAGAGACGAGCGGACGTAGAGGAGGTAGGACGCGAAAGCTCGAACCAATTTGAATACAATACCAACGGATTTAATAGGAACCACCGGAGGTTCGTGGGAGTTCGCGGGTGTCCGAAAGTGCGAGGTGCAAACAAAAGAGACGAAGCCGCGACGTGGAGAGGGGGGGGGAATAAAGGAGAAACGTGCCCAGCCGGCGGAAAAGGTTGCAGGACGCGGAAAGAGAAGGAAAAAAAAACGGCGAAAAATAAGTGGCGAGATAAGGAGAAGCGAACGGGGGAAGGATGGACGAGGTGGAGGAAAAGACCGGGAATTCGTATGCAGATTGATGTGATCGCACACGATGCAACTGCACGTGGATCGCATACGAAATTGCGCGTCGCAGCCGGGACGACGTATCATTCGCGGGACGGGGGCCAAACGTAATGAAAAATCTAGTCGTCGAAAAAGCAGCCGCGGCTACTATATATACGCTCGGATCTTTTTGTCGGTACCGATCGGTGTACCGAAATCGCGATCGGCGTTGTCCCGCACTCGACTCGTCTCCAGAAATTCGTCTTCGCCTTGCTCTCGCGAAGCGATCCACTTTCGATGTTGCAGGGTGCCTCAAAATCGACCGGCGAATTTTCAAATGCGCGATGTACACGATGTACACGGTGTTTCACGGTGTGTGACAATAGCATGAATAATAATGCCCAGTCCCGGAGCAATAATTATGGCCCGTTTCGCAGCGCCCCTTCGCCCCTCCGCCGTCCCTCCTCCGTTTGATGGAGAGATAATCTCTAACGTTAAACCGACGTTGATGAAGCCATGTAACTCGCTATCAATCTTAACAGAATTATAAGTCGAGTATATTTACGAACTTCATAAAGATCGAGGATCTCGTCCCTCTCTCTCATTTAGTTCGTCGCATTCGCGGACGGGGACAATCCGACAAGTAATTTAAGATTTTCCGCGACAGAGTCCGCGTAATTAAAGCTAGATAACGGGGGACGCAGCCGAGCGCGGCGCGTCGCACACAAAGGTTTAATCTTCTCGTTATAACGTAAACGCGGCGAAGAGGAATTTCCATTGTTGCTTATTAAGAGAACGCGAGAAGGCAATGAAACAGGACGGGGGACCTGTGCTTCACGGTGCTCTGCGCATCCGCGAAGAAGGCGGAGAGGAGGATGACTGGAGGACGACCGGAGAATCCTCACGTAGAACAGAGGCACCTTGTCTTTTTCCGATATGCATCTCGATCTCGTCGCTCGCTATGTTACGCGTCGCGTGTGGTGTGTGTGTGTGTGTGTGTGGCGCGCGTATGTATACCGCAGATAGAATATATATATCTCTGACACTGTGATTGACCGATAAGAGAAATAATTTTAGGACTGCTCCGCTCCAGTCTC